GCCTCCTGCACACCCCCTACTGGGGATGTGCCCGCAACCCAGGTACACGCCCTTGACCGGAATCGAACCTGGGACCCTTCAGTCCGCAGGCCGACGCTCTATCCACTGAGCCAAACCGGTTTCGGCATCAATAAAATATTTTTTTTTAAAGTGTTTTATTAAGTAAAATTTCAACTAAGTAAAAATGTTCATGCATAGTATTGTTTATAACTGTGAGTACCGTTTAATATTACATCACATGCATTTTTCCTTCTTATGACTATTTCTAAACATCCCTCTTCATAGCTGCATAATACTTCATAACATGAATTGGGTGTGATTTACTTTGACCATGTCCATCATTCTGAATATTGGCTGTGTTCTGAACACAGCCTTTGGTTCCAGAACAAGGGTCTAATTTGGGGGGGGGGGGGGGCACGTCCACACTTGTGAATGCCACGAAGTTATAGATTTTTTTCCGAGGAAGAAAGCCATATGCAGTAAGTCTGTATACAATTTCCCTTGGAAAATGGCAAATGCAATTAAAGGAAGGACCTCAGGCTAAGGATTCCTGTTCTATGCTCTATTTCATTTAAAATACATATATATATATTTAAAATATTTAAGATGGTAATTTCTGTTATGTACATTTTACCACAATTAAAAATAAAAATAAATAACAGCAAACACCTCCTACTGGGGATGTGCCCGCAACCAAGGTACATGCCCTTGACTGGAATCGAACCAGGGACCCTTCAGTCTGTAGGCCGACGCTCTATCCGCTGAGCCAAACCGGTCAGGGCAAAAATACATATATTTTTATTGATTTCAGAGAGGAAAGGAGAGGGAGAGAGACAGAAATATCAATGATGAGAGAGAATCATTGATCAGCTGCCTCCTGCATGCCCCACACTGGGGATCGAGCCCACAACCTGGGCATGTACCCTGACCGGGAATCAAACAGTGACCTCCTGGTTCATAGGTTGACGCTCAACCAATCACCAAGCAACACCAGCCAGGTGCTCTGGTTCATTCTGAGAACTTGTAAGTATCCATCACAATGACCTTCATATGTATGTTGCTTCTGACCTACAGGGCATCCAGACGTACCACATAGAGAAAACAGAATGTACTGAACACTAATGCTCTGGGGGCTATTCTAAGCGGCTTTACCTATATTATCTCATCCTCATCACAACCTTATCTTTATAGAGCCCCAAATGCTAAGAGGCAGAGACAGGATTGAAACCCCAATACTCTAGGTCAGCCCGTTTTTGTAGGGCTAAAGGGTTTTACATTTTTATTTTGTTATTATTTTTATTTATTTATTTATAATATTTTTTATTGATTTCAGAGAGGAAGGGTGGGGGAGAGATAGAAACATCGATGATGAGAGAGAATCATTGATCGGCTGCCTCCTGCAGGTCCCACACTGGGGATCAAGCCCACAACCCGGGCATGTGCCCTTGACCGGAATCGAAACTGGGACCCTTCAGTATAGAGCAGTGGTTCTCAACCTGTGGGTCGCGACCCCTTTGGTGGTCGAACGACCCTTTCACAGGGGTTGCCTAAGACCATCCTGCATATCAGATATTTACATTACGATTCATAACAGTAGCAACATTACAGTTATGAAGTAGCAACGAAAATAATTTTATGGTTGGGTCACAACATGAGGAACTGTAGTTAAAGGGCCAGAAGGTTGAGAACCACTACTCTATCCACTGAGCCAAACGGGCTAAGGTGGTTTTACATTTTTAAAGGGTTGTGAAAACAAAAAGAAATGATCAAGCCCTGACCGGTTTGGCTCAGTGGATAGAGCGTTGGCCTGCGGACTCAAAGGTCCCAGGTTCGATTCTGGTCAAGGGCATGTGCCTTGGTTGCGGGCACATCCCCAGTGGGGAGTGTGCAGGAGGCAGCTGATCGATGTTTCTCTCTCATTGATGTTTCTAACTCTCTATCCCTCTCCCTTCCTCTCTGTAAAAACTCAATAAAATATATTAAAAAAAAAAAAAGAAATGATCAAGAAACAAAGGAGGAGGAGGGGGCATAATTCTGCACACTTTAACCATGAGCTGCACATACGACTTCCTTCCAAAGAGTATAAGTATGAAAAGGAGGGAAAAAGAGTAATTTTCCAGTGGAGAAAAGTAACAAACACTACCCTTGCCAACAGTAACAAGGGCAACCTCAATAACCATACATTGTGTTGACAGTTTGTACCCTCTGTGATCTTTTACCCTCAAACCCATGCACCTCATCTAAAGGTGAGACAAACATCAGATTCCAGTGCAGGAACATCCTGCCAAATGCCTGATCAGCACCTCTTACGTCTTCAAGGTCATCAGAAACAAGAGTCTGAGAAACTGTCAGAGCCAAGAGGAGCCTAAGGAGACATGACAACGAACTGTATCGTGGTCTCCTGGATGGGATCCTGAAACAGATGGAGAAGATTCTGTAAAAACTAAGGGAAAGGAATAAAGCATGGACTTGAGTTAACAATAACGTATCAAAATCGGCCCATTCAGTATAAGGAATGTGCCATGCTAACTTGGTCATAATGGGGAAACAGGGGCAGGGTACCTGGGAATTCTCTGTAATAAAAATTCTTTGGGCCAAAACCGGTTTGGCTCAGTGGATAGAGCGTCGGCCTGCGGACTGAGGGGTCCCGGGTTCGATTCCGGTCAAGGGCATGTGCCTGGGTTGCGGGCACGTCCCCAGTGGGAGGTGTGCAGGAGGCAGCTGATCGCTGTTTCTAGCTCTCTATCTCTCTCCCTTCCTCTCTGTAAAAAATCAATAAAATATATTTTAAAAAAAATTATTTGGAATTCTTCTGTGAATCTAAAACCATTCTAAACAAATAAATCCATCGAAAAAGAACAGCATGCAGCCACATGCAACCCACAAAACTTAAATACTTAGCACAGGATCCTCTACAGGAAAAGCTGACCAACCCGGGCTCTACATCCAGAACTCATACCCAGTATCAACTGCTTCTCACAGTTCATACAAGATGCAACTAAGCTACAACTGTCAGACCTCAAACAAGACCTGGCTCATGCAACACATTTCTATTTACTGATTACTGAAAAACAAACAAAACAAAACCCTGCCTTTCTGGCAAAGACCTTCGCTCCAACCCCACCCTCAAACGCCTCCCAAAGCTGTTTGCTTTGTCATTTACTACAATGATCACACCCTCTCCTTTCTTTCTTCCTTTTTTTTAAAAGTCATTTTCTTTCTTGCTTCCTTTTTTTTTTTTTTAACATATCTTTATTGATTTCAGAGAGGAAGAGGGAAGGGAAAGAGAGATAGAAACATCAATGATGAGAGAGAATCATTGATTGGCTGCCTCCTGCACGTCCCCTACTGGGGATCAAGCCCACAACCCAGGCATGTGCCCTTGGCTGGAATCGAACCTGGGACCCTTCAGTCCGCAGGCTGAAGCTCTATCCACTGAGCCAAACCAGTCAGGGCGCCCTCTCCTTTCTTGTTGTGATCTGAAAGGCAGGCCTGTGAAAGGACCACAGATGTCTAGTGTTCGGTTCCCCCTAAACACGAGCTTCCTCCTCACCAAGTCACACTGAACTAAAGCGCAAACACTAACCTCCCACTGGCATTCCATTCCATCAGCCACGGGGATGTGAGCAATCGGCCAAGTGAATGCTCACCAGGGAGGGTGGCTCAGTGGGGAGGACACGGGGGAATACACCTGCACAGGATCGGGGGAGTCACTGGGATAGGTCCCTGTTAGGGGGGACATATTTGGCCAAGGAAAGCAAACATTCCTCCGCCCTATAAACAAATCATTTGCTGAACAACAACAAAACTCACCAGAACCTTGATTTTAAGACGTGTGTCGATGCGGGATGGCTGGCCTGGGGGAGAGAGGAGGAGAGAATGAAACACCAGGTCCTTTCTGGAGCACAGACGACATCAGAACATACCCTCCTGTCCCCATGTCATATCTAAAACCAACCAGAAAGAGGGGGAACTCGGGTCTGAGTATTTCAGAGATTCCTGGGGACTAGGCTCCAGTGCCCCGGGGGTCTTGTCACTGTGCATCTGCCCCCTCCCCGCACCGGTCAGGTCTGGGACCTCTCCCCTGCAAAACAGGATCTCATTCCTGAGGCCCTTCTGTCCTGTCATTCAGGTAGCCCGTGGGAAGAGCACTTTAGCACTGAAATTGCCATCTCAGGACGATGCGCCTTCTTTACTTTTATTTTTTTAATTATTTTATTTTATTATTATTATTTTTTAAAAATATGGAACGCTTCACTAATTTGCGTGTCATCCTTGCGCAGGGGCCATGCTAATCTTCTCTGTATCGTTCCAATTTTAGTATATGTGCTGCCGAAGCGAGCACTATTTTTATTTTTTAAAGAATGCTACTTGCGCCCTAGCTGGCTTGGCTCAGTGGATAGCGCATAGGCCTGCAGGACTGAAGGATCCCGGGTTCCATTCTGGTGCCCCAGTTGCAGGCTTCACCCCCAGTAGAGGGCGTGCAGGAGGTGGCCAATCAATGATTCTCTCTCATCACTGATGTTTCAATCTCCCCCTCCCTTCCTCTCTGAAATCAATAAAAAGATTTTTTTTTTTTTTTAAAAATGCTACTGCCCTAGCTGGTTTAGCTCGGGGGATAGAGCATCCGCCTGCGGACTGAAGGGGCCTGGGTTCGATTCCCGTCAAGGGCACATGCCCGGGTTGCGGGCTGGATCCCCAGTAGGGGGCGTGCAGGAGGCAGCCGATCAATGATCCTCTCTCATCATTGACGTTTCTCTCTCTCTCCCTCTCCCTTCCTCTCTGAAATCACGAATGCTACTTGTGCAAGTCAGAATCTGCTGCCAATTAAACGGGGACAGCTTTGCCGACAAACAAGAAGACGCCCCTCCATGGCCAGGAAGAGGTTTCCCGCCTCCAGCTGTCACTCTCCTCGCAGGGTCGGGCTCTGACTTCCCCCTGGGGCCCCTGCGTCCAGGCAGGCACCTCCCGGCGGGAAGGTGACGGCAGGGGAGCCGCAGAGACATCACAGCCACGGGGCGCGCTGCCGCGCACACCCCGGTCCTCGCTCCGTGGTGGCCACGCA